AGCTGGAGTCTTGCTCTATCACCCAGGCTGGAGTGCAGTGGCATGATCTCTGCTCATTGCAACCTCCGCCTCCCAGGTTCAGGTGATTCTCGTGCCTTAGCCTCCTGAGTAGCTTGGACTACAGGCCAGCACCACCATGCCTGGCTAATTTTTGTATTTTTAGTAGAGATGGGGTTTTACCATGTTGCCTAGGCTGGTCTCAAACTCTTGACCTCAAGTGATCTGTTCGCCTTGGCCTCTCAAAGTGCTGGGATTATAGACTGAACCACTGCACCTGGACTGCAAATATTTCTTGAGCACCTCCTATGTACCAGGCATTAATCTAGATGATGGGAATAGAACAACGAACGAGTCAGAGAAGGTTCCCCACCTAGAGGAGCTTCCATTATCATGGAGGAGAGACCCAGACCAGTAAACAAAGATGTAAGCCAGGTAATTTTATATAGTAAATGTACTCTGAGTCAAATAAAGCAGGGCACTTGATACAGAGGTGAAAAGTGCAGGAGGGCAGTTAGGTAAGGCCTTCTACAGCAGCTGAGTTAGCTGAGGTCAGAGTCAGGAATCTGAGGGAGGAGACTAGGACATGTTTAGATGACAGGCAGTATAGACCAAAACTAAGAGGAGGGGCAGAAGGGGAGGAGCAAACAGACTTGATATGTGGAAAGTAACATTGGTAGAACTGTGTAACCAAAGGAATTCTGGAGCGGTGGGAACTGATGGCTCCCAGGCTTCTGGCTTGGGTGAGTGGGTGAATCGTGGTGCCACCAGATGAGATAAAGCAGGAATGTGTCTTGAGGAATTGAGGAATTCCATTTTGACAGTGTGAGGTGCCCCTGGGATGCCCAGGCAGCCATGCTAAGGGAATAGACGGTCAGGGCCCGTTATTTGGGCTCTAGCAGCATAGATGTAGCCATTAAAACTGAGTGTATCTGAGAAATAAAAGAAAGAAGATGGTAGGCAGAAGAGGACACTCAGGGCTTGGTGTGGTGGCTCATGCCTGTAATCCTAGCAGTTTGGAAGGGAGACAGGTGGATCACCTGAGGTCAGGAGTTTGAGAGCAGCCTGGCCAACATGGTGAAACCCCATCTCTACTAAAAAGACAAAAATTAGCTGGGTGTGGTGGCACACACCTGTAATCCCAGCTCCTTGGGAGGCTGAAGCAGGAGAATCGCTTGAACCCTGGTTGGCAGCGGGGTGGGGTGGGGGAGGGCAGAGGTTGCAATGAGTTGAGACCGTGCCACTTCACTCCTGCCTGAGTGAAA